CACCATTTTCTACCCTTTTGCTCTGCGTTCTCCTTAGCTCCGGCGCCGGTTTCAATCTCCATCACCGTCTCCGGTACACCGGAAAATCTGAAAATCAAACTTTCTACATCTTCGAGAAAAATGGAGTGGATTATTGTGAAAATTAATAGAATTAATCTACGGTATACCGGAAAATTTGAAAATCAAACACTATATATTCGAGAAAATTGGAGTGGATTATTGTGAAGATTTATAGATTTAATCTACGGTACAAACAGATTCATCTCATCTTAATTTTCCTCCCACTTTTTTGGTTACCTTGTAATTCTTTCTTCACGACAGTAATAGGAATTTTAGAGAGGAAATGGAGGATTGGCCGAGTGGGATTGCAGGGAAGAAAGGTAATTTTGGTGAAAGACAAAAAAATCCCTAAATTTAATGTGATGGCAATCAATAGTAAGGGTATTTTGGAGAACTCAAATATGTAACTATCATACAACAACTATCTAATATGTTAGCAAAACTATATATATATATATATATATATATATATATATATATATATATATATATATATATATATATATATATATCCCTTCTTATCTCGCCGCATATGCAATATCAACAATAACAATAGCACGGCAAAAACCTCGTACAAACACCCCCAACAATCCTCTCAACAAGTCCACATGTACCAAAGTCACAACAACACAACATATCAACTCGCACCACACTCGCCCATATACCACAATATTTCCAAAATAATAATACCAATATCACAACGATACATAGCTCACGGCTCAACAAATGTATATAAGAGTCTCAACAACCACACAATGAAACGGAAGAATAAATTCTACAATGAAAGATAATCCATGTAATAATAACTTCAATTAAATGCATAAAAGTAAAGTCAATAATGAAAGATATAACATGTAATAACGACTTCAATTAAATGCATATAAGTGAACTTAAGAGTCTAAACCGGTCAATTTCTATATATAAGCTCGTGTACACACTTGTCACCTCATGTACACGTTTTTTACATAATCCAAATAGTGCAATTAAATCAAATCCTACGGGATAATTTTCCCACGCAAAGTTACGCAAGATACTTACCTCTAAGAAGCTCTTCTCGTGTGAAACAACCTCCGGACGACCCTAATCTAGCCAAAATAACTTAATATTATGAATAAAAGCCATAGGAAACGATTTCAGAAAATAAAGATGCGATCTTTAGTGAAATCTAAAAAATTAATCCCGGACCCGTACCTCGGAACCCGACAAAACTCATAAAATCTGAACATTTATTCCGATACTAGTCCAACCATACCAAAATCATCCAATTCTGATCTCAAGTTGGCCTTCAAATCATCAATTTATGTTTTAGAAAACTTTTTATTAAAATTCCCCATTTTTCAAATTCAAATCATCAATCAAACACTAAAATCGAGGTTGAAACACAAATCCGAGTAAAAAATACTTACTCCAATCCATATCGTGAAAATCCCCTCCAAAATCGCCCAAGCCCGAGTTCTCCAACTTAAAATATGATAAAATAACAAAAACCCTCGAAATAGAGTACTATATAAGTTTGCCCAGTCATACTTATCGCAAACGTGGGATCCTCATCGCATTCGCGAAGACAAAAAATCCTCCGCCCTGAGAAAAGCCTTCGCGTTCACGTTTACACTATTGCGAACGCCCAAGCCATCGCGTAGGTTAATCTCCTCCCAGCACCTGGCTACTTCGCGAACACGGAGCTCAGTCACTAACGCGTAAAAGAGAAGCTGCCAACACCAAAATACTCTATGCGAACACAATGTACTATTCGCGATCGCGAAGAAGGATATCAGACACCAACCATCAGCAATCCAAAACATGAATAAATAGCTCGTAGCCCATTCGAAACACACCTGAGGCCCCCCGCGATCCCGTCCAATCACATCAATCAGTCCCAAAATATAACGCGGGCCTGCTCGAGGCCTCAAATCACACCAAACAACAATAAAACTATGAAACGCACCTTAATTCAAGTCCAGTGAACTAGTGAACTTTAAACTTTCAAAACTCACGCCGAACCATATCAAATCAACTTGGAATGACCTCAAATTTTGCATGCAAGTCCCAAATGACACAGCAGAACTATACCAACTCCCGGAACCACAATGCGAACCCGATATCAATAATGTCAACTCTCAGTCTAATCTATCAACCTTCAAAATCTTCAACTATCCAACTTTCGCCAATTCAAGTCAAAACAATCTAGAAACCTCTAAATCCAATTCCAAACATACAACTAAGTCCAAAATTACCATCCGAATCTAATAGAACCGTCAAAACTCCGATCCGAGATCAAATACGCAAAAGTCAAACTTGGTCAACTCTTCCAACTTAAAGCTTCTAAAATGAGAATCATTTTTCCAAATCTATCCTGAATTGCTCAAATACTAAAATCGGCCGTACACACAAGTCATAATACAAAATTTGAAGTTACTCAAGATCTAAAACCACCGAACGAAACGCTAAAACTCAAAATGACCGATCAAATCGTTACACCATACAATAATTTTTTTGCATCTGTTGCATGCATCAAATCAAATAAGTGCATGACTTGTAACTTTCACATGAAGTTTATCGCACAATCGTGATTAATTGGGTTATGGTTCTTCTATTTTTCATATTCCAGCTCGTTCATTTAAGTATAAGACGACAACTGCCATCATTTCAAACAGTTTTTTTGTCATCGAATAAATATTCAAAAAATAAAAATTAACAAGGAAAAAGAAAATAGAGAGGCCCAAGAAGCAAATCACTTTGGACCCCAAATGAAAGAGCCTTCTGCTGTGACTTCTTGGTGAAAATAGCACGGATTAGCTAGTTTTTGGACATGTAATTGAAAAATAACCAATATTTGTAAAATTATTAAAAAATAGTCATTATTTTGCTGCAACACAGAAAGTTCCAGCATAATGTACTAGAGATTGGTGCACCTGTGTATGAACTTCCAGCATATTATGCTGGAACTCCAGCACACGGAAAGTTCCAGCATAATATACTGGAGATTGGTGCACCTGTGTATTAACTTCCAGCATATTATGTTGGAACTCCAGCACACGGAAAGTTTCAGCATAATATACTAGAGATTGGAGCACTTGTGTATGAACTTCCAGCATATTATGCTGGAACTCCAGCACACGGAAAGTTCCAGCATAATATACTGGAGATTGGTGCACCTGTGTATTAACTTCCAGCATATTATGTTGGAACTCCAGCACACGGAAAGTTTCAGCATAATATACTAGAGATTGGAGCACTTGTGTATGAACTTCCAGCATATTATGTTGGACCAGTATATTATGCTGGAAGTTCACATATAAAGTATATTATGCTGGAATATTTTCCAGATTTTGAATAGTGTTTTCGTTCAGATTTATCTTTACATAAAAAGTGACTAAATTTCGATTACTTTTGAAACTGTGGCTATTTTTCAATTACCACCTATAAATCTGAATATTTTTGAATTTCACCCGGACTTCTTGCCCAATTAAGAGAGGCCCAGGAAGCAAATCAAATTGGTACTGGAGAATGTGTCGGTCAATACACAAATATGCAAATGCAAGAATAGATGCACAAAAATTGGAACCAATGAACGATATTGTATTTCATTGCCACCATCACTAATATAATTTCCTTAAGTTCAAAGGAAGTCTCTGTAACTCGGATACACATAGGTTTCTCTAGTCACTTCACAGAAAGTCCTAGTTGACGAAATCATCACGAGTTCTGGCGAAAAGAAATTTCTTCTTGGGATGGCTAATTGTATTGAAGCTAAAGAAGAATGAATATAAGGAAAGCGGTGGTTGAAATCAATCAATAAATGCTTGAATATAAAGAGAAAGCAGATTAAATTGATTAAATTTAAATTGATAATGAAAGGAAAAATAAGAAATAAACGTAATAACCAATGTTTCTAAGGTTGAGTAATGTGTGTTCTTTGTACAGTTCGTTGCTTATTCATACCTAATTAGTTGGATGTTCCGTGGTCATTCGTACCTAGGCTCATCATCAAGAAGGCAAAGACTTTCGCTCGATCGGTTAATTAGGCAATGTTGACCTTGACGATTCAGATTTCCTTTTTCTACTGGACTAGCTATTCGACTGATCTATGTGAAATTTCAGAGTTAAAGTGTGCGCCTTCTCCAAGTGGCTTTTCTTGTGATGGTGTCAATGAAATACAATATCCTTCGTGGTGGCGATAATGGTGATGGAGGGGAAGGAAATTTTAGGGGTGGAAAAAAAAATAAGAAGGAAGGGATAAAACGGGTTATGGGCGCTGAGGTGGCATACCACGTGTCATCTACCTCATCAAATATCAGTGCCACGTAAAATTAAATGTCCATCTTAGACAAAGTTAACGGACGAGGGGTATATTTGAACCAATAGTATAATGACAAGGGTATATTTAGACCCAAAGTATAACGAAAGGTATATTTAAACCTTCTCTCATAGTACAGAGATATATTTGGCCTTTTTCCGCATTAAAAATGAATATCACAATAGTAAGAGAGTTAAAGGAAAAAGGAGTATGAACTCAATTACGTTTTCAGTCTTACTGGTTGAGTTATTGTTGAGGAAACGATCATCTAAGTGATCATCTTCCGAATTATATAACCAAAAGGGCATTGCAATCACTCATTTAATCAAAAGCAGCACATTAAATTTGTGCATGACACGGTTCTTCTATTGAGTTTGATCAATCATCAATAACAAGCAGATTATACCTGTGGATGCTATATTCTGGAATGTGGAGTTCCCTTTCGTTGTTAGGGCAGAGTGACAGACTGAGAACAGCATCGGCTCCCATGTATTTAGGGGAGTTGGACAGCCGTTCCCCTCATCAGGACTTCATTCTTTTTCCGTTGAAACAAACACAAAAATTAGAGTACTAAAGGCTGTATCTAGAACATGATATCTGTCCTGTATATAGTCCAGATTCCGAAGAAGGTGAGAAATGTGAATTCAGCAATCAAAGAGGGACTAGGATCTTAATTGAATGAGTAGGACTAAAAGAGGAGATACAATAACTTAACAGCGTCGATGAAATGATAAGAATAAAACTCTAAAGGTTTAAATAAATTTCTAAATAACTACTTCATGTCCAACTGTCTAAGACTACTGCACATCTTGGAGGTCCATCCACAACTTGTGCAAACTATACAAAACTATTCCCTTTCACCTGAACCAATACGTATACCCACCGCAAAACAATTACCAACACGAACATTTTACACTCCAACAACAGCATTTTGGACATGTGCATGAGCATTTAGGGCACGTACACGAACACTTTGGGCATCCACATGAACATTCTGGGCACGCGCATGAACACTTTGGCAACGTGCAGGAACATTTGAGGCAGCCAGGTTTACAACATGACAAGCATTTGAGTTGCCATTTGGGCCAAAGACAACATTTTGTGCAGCTCAGTTTTGAGCAAATTAGACAATTAGGTAGTCTGCATTTAACTCGACAACAGCAGTTGGTAGAAATGGTTGTATCTGATCTCTTAGGCGGACGTAGAGTTTGTCTGATCTTTTTAAGCCTGATTTCAGTGGTCATGCACTCCATTTCTTGAATAAACCTGCAAAGGTGGCGGATGTAATCTGGGTAGAGTTCCAAGTTGCAGTGGCCTCCCCCTTTGATCCATAAGGGTTCATATGGATCCTTAGCCATTTTCCAAAGTCCATTACCATGTAGCCAATTTACAACATCATCCTCTGTGCCCTGTAAAACATTAGTAGGAACCCATCAAGATGATGCACCAATAAAACAGAGAAAGACCTTAAGTATATTTACCTTGTTTCCTTTCCTCCATATTCTAGCTGACCCATAAAGCACGAGTGTAGGAAATTTTATTCCATAGGTCATCAGAAATTATTTTTCACTGTTCTTGAGCCGAGGGTCTACCGGAAACAGCCTCTCTACTTTCCTAAGGTAGAGGTAAGGTCTGCGTACACATTACCCTCCCCAGACCCCACTTGTGGGATCCCACTGGGTATTTTTTTTTTAGGTCATCAGAAATTAAAAGGCGATTGTAGACGAGGATTTCAAATATCAATTATTCTAAACAAACAGCATGTATAATACTGTGACCTATTTTAAATAAACAGCATGTACAACCCAACATGAGCTGATAAGCATTCTGGCATGTTATTTTAAGCATGCATAAAATGTGCTTACTATAAACCTACGACATTGTGTTATCTTTTCTGTTGAGACTTGAGAGATCTTTTTGATAGGTGCCATCTATATCAACGCATTGTCCATATCTTCATTGAATAAAAATATCAAAAGCCTACAATTTTTGAATAGATATTCTGGTAATCAACTTGGCTCTTAGCAATTTGGGCAGTGCTCATTTTTATAAACTAAAAGGGTGGAATGTATGGGAAACAGACGTAGATGGGCTAATCTCCAGAAGAAGGTTCACAAATGCTGAACAGAGATGTTGTATCAGACTAATTCAACATATTGTGATCATCAGTTGACGCCATGATACTTGTACACAACTTGACTTTTATTATATCAGGTACATTTCCTTCACAAAATACTTCTGTCTCCCTCCATTTTAATCATCCTATTTTAGCTTTATGTTAGTTCTATGAGTTACATCTTCATCTATCATGCCATTTCACCAGAAGATTGAGTTAAATCTCTTGTGCTAATACAAATCCTACATTGTAACAGCAGAGAATACTTGAGAATGCACAAACTTTACCACATGGCATGCACAGAATCATAGTGAAGATGCAAACAATTCGGCTAAAAGATTCCATAGGTCCTGTAGGAAACTCTGGACCTATCAGCTTTTGATGATTCACGTGCTCTTTCCAATTTAGTATCATGATACTCTGAACCCAACAGTGCTTCTTAACTCATAATCTCTCTTGTCAAATGGCCAACTAGATAAAGCACGACTTATTGCTCTGCTGATCTTTTTCTTTTTTTTTCGTAATAAACGTGGTGCCCCACCAGCACAGGTACCGAAAAATAACTTTTAACCCACTACATTGACCACTTGGTCAGACCCTTGGGTGCTTATTGCTCCACTGATCTTAACTCTTAATCAAAAGTTAGCAGGGAACCATGAATAAGCAAAAGAGCCATAAGAGAAGAGGAACTAGGTTCAGCAACTGGGATTCTAGGAGTTCTTTTTATAGGATCAAGAAGAATAATGAAGAGACCTGAAACTAGAGTAAATAACACCGAAGCGATTAGAGAGCCTCCTCAAAAAGGACGCACATCTGTTTGCAAGTGAAAGAAAGATGTATGCTAAATTTATAATTATAAATAAACACACAGCCTAGAAGTTCTTGCCGCAAAATGCTAGAGGGAAGCAAATGGATGTGTTGGCCAACTAACCAGAGACTTTTATGTAAAGTATTAACAGTTCGGTGACTTCAAATCTGGTCGGACAAATTAATATCAATACTAAAAAATTTCAATCATCAAACATTGAATTTAGTTAGTTTAACTCCACTGGTTCATTTTTTATTATTACCATAAGATATTATGCATATGAATACTATTTCTTCCGTAGTAATCAAAATCTCCTTTCCAAACTCAATCCTTCTTAATTTATATTTAAACAGCATTATATGTTATACAGGGACAGAATCTTATCGTATAACAACAATAATGATCCAAAAGGTCTCATCCCAAAAGGATATTCTCAAGATGTCACATATGGAGATCATGAATCAAGAAAACAGAGCTTAAAAGAGAAAGAAGTTGTTCTTATATCTCTGATTGTCTTCATGGCAGAGAGGATTCTTTAGTTGAAAAGAAATAAAAGTCCATATCCATTTGTTCTCTTCTCTATATTAGTTAAATTTAATCTTACCCTCATCACTTAAAATGTCAACATTGCATAAGAAATTTAAATGTAAATGTCAACTAATGCAAAAAAAACAACAACTTACATGTATAACAAGCACAGGGCTTTTCACCTTCTGAATCTTGTTTAAATTCTGCACATGAACATAGCTGTTAGATCTTACGATAGCCCCAAGGAACATACACAAATTAATATATAAGGTATTCAAGTTGTTCCCCTAATAAATTACTCAGGCCACTGGCAAGAAAAAAAAATAATTGCAAACATTTCAGAATCATTACAAGTTTCATGAAGTGCAGCAGAATCAGCTCAAAACTTTGACTGCAACTTTTCTCTAACAACCCTTCTTCATAGGCCTACATTTTAAAGTTATTCGGTTGCTTTATTAAAAAAAACATGAGTTACTCTTCGTATCTTGAGGCAAAGGAAGCTTCCATAATTTATTCTTACAAACTAAAGCTATAGATAGAGAAGTTGCCAAAGCCAAAATGCTCAAAGACGACAACACAGTCAAAAAAAGAAAAAGACCTCAACAAGTTAATTTTTATTTCCTTGAAGGATGTTAGTTACCTTGTAAATGTCAAAGCAAAAAGTGAAGTTGGCATGGCAAAGCACACGAAGGCCTGAAAGAATGCCACTATGCAGAACCACACCTCTTAACCGTGGTAATTTAGCTGCCAAGTGTAATGTTGGGCCACTTCCGACAGATTGCCCATAGAGAATCAAATCTTCCTGGCTAATTCCATACTCTGTTTGAAGGCACTCATACACCGCTTCTATGTCCGCGTATGTATCAAATTCGCTTGGCTACATCATGCAAAAAAAAGACACTGAGAAGAAGTAACTTACCCGCACTCACATCCTTAAATTCTTACTTAAGACATACCTTCCCTGAAGATGCTCCATAGCCAGAATAGTCATATCTGCATAGTAATTGAGATGGATTACAAAAAGTGAAAATTCCGAAGGATCATTTTTTTTAAGAGTAGAGAACAACACAACTTATTAGGAAACAGGTCAAAGTATAATAGCCTATAGCAACATGAACATGAGTTGGGTAAAATGTTCAAAAATGCAACTAACCAAAAGCATTCTGGTTAAAATCAAAGATGTAAATTGATTTCTCTTAGCTTTGTCTGGCACACATGTTATACATTAGTACCTAGTTACCTACTATAATATGCAAAAGTAGCCTGATAATTTTGTACTTTTTAATACAAATGAACAGTTCAGATCAATTATCATAACCGTGTCAAACACACAAAAATGAAATTACTGGACTCTCATTGCATCCTTGATAGGCAACAGTGTGACATGTGCGTCAAACTCACCAAAGAGGAACATGTCCTATGGACACTGTATGTATATTTGAAAAAAACACATAAAAGAGCAAGATCAAAGGCAAGTCTCAGTACAAAAAAGCAATGCTTTTATTCCCTCTACAAAGTAATAGGGACCCATGTCTCTCTATCCAGACACACCACTAAAACCCTCATTTTACTTTTACATCCCATTCTGTGGGTGAAAATCTATCACGCTACATATAAGGACAAAGAAAAGCAAAAAATAATTGTAACTGTTGGAAAGGGACTAGTGATTTGTGACAACAATGAGAATTCACACGGCTCTTGCTTTTGCTTTTCCAATACTCAGTTAAAAAAGATGATAACTCACTGTCAAAATTTAACAGATCAAAAGGCACTGATGAGGAGAAAAGAAATTCAAAGGTTTATTTATTTAACAATGAAATTTTCACTGAAAACCATGAGATCAAACATGGGAGTAACAGGCAATAGAGAGATCAAAGTGTAGTAGAAATTAATAAAACTTTAAATTAGACAAATGTGAAAAAGCTTTTCTTTTCTTTTCTTCAAGTACAGAAAATGGATGGAAAAAGTGACCTTTACCATACCCCATGAGAGAGAAATACTAGGAACATAGCAAAAAAGGTGAGGAGACAAAGACCCATATCTCACAATCTAGCCCCAAAAAACAAAGAAAATAAAAATAATTTAAAAATTAAAGATTGACCCAATTTTTTACAAATCAAGCTTAAAACACTCAAGAGAGGAAACAGTAGAAAACATAAAAAAGAAGAAAAGTAAGCAGACCCCATAAGGTTGACTCTAAGATTAGCTTTAAGCTGAAGAAACAAGTCATAGAGCTGGCCCAGATCAGCAGCATTGCCATGAGAGTAAAGAACGGTGAGCTTAGCATATGGGTTTTTAAAGTAAAAAGCAACAATCTTGTTGCCTCTTTTGGTATCAACAAGAAGAACATCAAGTGAAGGGTCATCAATGGGCATATTTGATGTTGTTGAAACAGCAACAAGCTTTCCGTCGTCTCGCTTTTTCACTTGATATGTAGCTGGTGATGGAGGAAAGAAGGCAAATTTGGCTGCTAACTGAGATAAACAACAACCCATTATAAGAAAGATTTTGTTCCACCGTCACCACCCCACCAGTAGCTGAATGGTCTCTTCTGCAGACCCAACTCATGAATGCATGTGGGTATGCTGGTGTTGTTCTTCTTCTTTTTGTATGAAAGTGTAAAAGAGAGAAAAAAAAAAGGGTTCTTGAATTTGGTTGAAAATTTGTTTGGAGGAGGAGAATAGGGGAAAAGGAAAGAAGTGTGGGTAAAAGAGGGAGGTGAGTTTTCCAAGAGTTTGGACTGTTTGTTTGGCTAAATAAGTGTAAAAGATGATATCACATATATTTTGTTGGTATTCACATTTCACACAAGAAAATAAAGAGAAAGAGCGAAAAAAACAAAACAAAAGAAAGGGTGTTCGTGAAATGACTGTGTATGTGTGTACTGTATGAAAAACCGGAGACTTTGGGGGTTCGGCAGAGAGAGAAGTGTGTGTGTGTGCGTGAGAGAGTGCGTTTCTTTTGAAAGGTTTCTGATTTTTTCCTTTGGAAATAGAGAAAAAAGAAAGAGAAGAAAAAAGGGTTTTGGAGTTTTCCGGTTTTTTTTTCGGAGGTGAAGAGA